CCACTCCTCTACTTCCTCCTGGAGGACTCCCTTCCCTTGTGGTCCCCCTGCCTATATGCCCCCCCCTCGCGCCCCCCAACCAACCCACCTCTCTTTTCTCTCCCATGTTCCTCCTTGTTCCCGGATCCTATCGACACACAGGCTGGGGGTGGGGGGCTCTGCAAGTTAGGAAAAGGGACTGACATCACATTTCAGGCCCCAATGAACAGTCTTGCCCCTCCCCCTCCTAATGAGAACCAGCTGTGGCTCCAGAGGCCCAGATGTGGGGATAGAGGGGGAGAACAGGATGGAGTCAGAGGACAGAGTAATAGGACCGGGGGTAGAGTGGGGGCATGTATCAAGGCAGACTGGGTGAGAGAAAAGTGACAGCTCTGGGGAACAAAAGAGGACAGATCTGGGTAGGAGACAGGACAGACCGGGGAGAGAAACAAGAGGGGGCAGGACAGATGCACAGGGAGGGTGCTGGGAGGAAGGACAGAGGTGGAGAAGGAGGGAGACAGTGCAGGGAGGAGGGGCAGTGAGAAACACTGGACAGATGGGGGAGCTGGAGCCGAGGAGAGAGCTGGTGAGGGGATGAGACGGTCTCGGGAGAGAGTCTGGAGTTTGCGTTTGGAACTGGAAGCCCTGGAGCAGGAAGCGATGAGGCACAGTCCAGACAGAGGCCCCGGGGACCTTGAGGTCACAGCTGTAGCCGCAGAACTGACCAGGAGTGGCCCGGCAGCATGTGTGAGAGCATGCCTGCGTGTGCGTGCATCTGTGAGTGGGTGTGCGCGTGCCGGGCCAGTGGGAGGCTGCGTACAAGGGAAAGTGGGCCCGGCTGTGCATGTGAAGTGCATTTGTGTGCGTGTGTACACACAATTGTGGGTGTGAACATGCCTGTCCTCCATGTGAAGTTCCAGAGAATGTGCCTTTCTGTGTGTGTGTGTGTGTGTGTGTGTGTGTGTGTGTGTGTGTGTGTGAAAATATGGTTCTGTGTATGTGTGGAGAATGGTGTCTACACTGTACCTGGCTAGCACGTGCTGAAATAAGCCTCTCTCTGGGTGCTTGCGTGTGTGTTAAGTGTGTTGGTTGGCATGTGAGTGTGAGTGCAGGGGAATAAATCTCTGTGAGCACGTAAGTCTGTGTATCTTTTCATGTCTAGCTGGGTGAGTGAGTGAGGTTGGCTCTGTGGGGTCTGTGACTTTGCTAGTGTGCACTGGGGGAATGGTACTGGTTAGGGCCCTGGTGGTGAGGAGAGTTCAGAGGCAGGACACTCGCTGGAAGAAGGAATCGCTTTCACACAAGGCGTCCCACCTGGGCTTGAATGCTGTCCTCTTTCAGGCTGACCTTTCACCTGGGCTTTTATCTCACACCAATTCACACATGCTTGCATTGAGAAAATGTGTTGGTCACATTCTGCGTGTCGTGCTTTGGGTTACACACAAAGGTGAATCCCAGATACAGTCCCAGCCCTCAACTCTCTACTTGTCTGGAAAGGGTAGTGGATAATTACAATAATACAGAATGTGGTAGATACGTGGCCTTCAGTGTCCACGATCTTTACTCCCCTCCAACAAAAACTGTTCCCCCTCCAGTGACTGATTAAATGGACAGAGCCAACTCTGACCCCTGACCCCTAACCTAGTCTTGGGACCCTGATCCCTGACTTGGACCTCTCTGGCCACCCCAGAAACTCAGTCTCTCCTTTCTTTGAGTCAGGCCTGTATTCACCCTGACCTCTCTGTTTAGAAACCTTCGACTTGTGATTCCATATAGCAACTCAAGGGTAAGATGACCAGATTTTAACATTGGTTAAGCGGGACACCATTGATAAAACTCATATCCTGGCGAAATAGCCACATGGCAGCCGAAAACCGTATAACCTAGCTTGTCGTGCATTCTTTCCAAAAATTGGGACTTTTTTGAAACACCGCAGGACGTGGGAATGTTAAAAATTGGGACTGTCCCGCCCAAAGTGGGACGTCTGGTCACCTTACTCAAGGGGCTTCTCTGGCTTGGGGCCCAGCCAGTGGGGTCTTAGTGACACTTAGAACCCCAGGACTCTGACGCAGGGATGGGGAGGTCCAGAGGGGATCCATCAGGAGACTTGAGAAAGCATCTCCCTCACTTACATTGCCTCGCATTCTCATACAGCCTCAGGGTAGGTATTACCGGAGTCATTCTACAGATTCGAAAATACAAGGCTGAGACTCAAGCCATGGCCAGACTCGAAAGCCCCAGATCATTTCCGTTGCCTCACGGCAGGGGGAGAGTTGGAGACCTGAAGGGTATGTGGGAAAGAGAGGCTGGTCAGAAACCCTCCTCCCTTAGAAGAACAAGAAGGCCCAGGGAAGAGACAATTCCCAGACCCCCCTGAGGACGCCCTTCTGTAGCCAGCAGCTGACCATGGTGCCTTGGAGGCACTGACTTGTGTGTTTGTGTAGGTCATCTGAGATGGCTTCTCTGTTAGCACCCCACCACCACCACCATATCCACCCCTCCGAATGTGCAGTGTTGTGACATGAGAGTGTGCTGGTGTGAAATTGTGATACTCTAACTCTGTCCTTCATTCAGCATGAATACCAGCTCACACTAATACCTCTACTAAATGCTGGAGAATCAGGAACCAACGAAGACCCACTGCTGCCCTTGAGGAGCCTCTAGTCCAGTGCCAAGAACAGCCACACAAACACCTCAGTGCTAGCTGAAGTTAGAAACAACCCACAGTAGTGGGATCCCAGTAGAGCAGTAGTTCTCAACCCTCCTAATGCCGAGACCCTTTAGGACAGCTCCTCATGTTGTGGGGACCCCTAAACCATAAAATTATTTCCATTGCTACTTCATAACTGTAATTTTGCTACTGTTATGAATTGGACAACCCCTGTGAAAGGGTTGTTCGACTCCTTGCTGCAGTAGAGGGTATAATAGGCTCTACCAAGGGAGAGGCTAAGGTCTCTCAGAGAAGATTCCACAGAAGATGGGACTTTAAAACTGAATCCCATTGGAGTTCAAGGAGGAGGTGATCACAAGGAGAAGGTGTTTCAGAGGATATCAGCATGAGCTAATACAGCCGAGGCAAGGACCTGGGAAAGGGCATGGTGGCACACCTAGTGTTGCTACAAAGCCAAGTGTGATGGGGCAAAGTAAAGGCAGGGCCACATAAGACTGGGAGGGCTCCGATCAGGAAGGCCCATTAAGAGGTTGAACTTGAACTTACCTGTTGAAAGGTCGATGCCTAGTGTCCATGAAGCCCTTGCTCCTTTCACATTCAGAGGCACTGCCTGCTTCTGGTTTTCTTTCTCTTTCTGTCCACCGAACCCCCTTGTCCAGCCGATGGTCAGGCCAGAAACCAGTCCCTCATCCTTGACTTCTCCCACTCTTACCACCTCTCTCCAAGCAGTCATCAAGTCCTGCCAATTCTACCTCCTAAATCTTCTAGTTGGGCTGCTAACTGTCAAGTCAGCAGTTCAAAACCACCAGCGGGTTGGAGAGAGAAAGATCCCCTCCCATAAGATTTCCAGTCTCAGAAATCCATGGGGCAGTTCCACCCTGTCCTAAAGAGTTGCTATGCGTCAGAATTGACTTGTTCTCTGTGAGTTTTCGGTTTTGAAATCGGCAGATCTGGCCTCTTCTCCATTCGTCATTGCAATCGCTCGTCCAAGTCACCAGCAAAGCAACTTCACCACCTGGCCTCCCACAAGCTCAGAACCTAACTCACTGCCACAGAGTCAATTCCAACTCATAGTGACCTCACAGGTCAGAGGAGAACTGCGCCCCCCACCCCACCCCAGCCGTGGGTTTCTAACGCTCTAAATCTTTACCGGAATAGAAAGTCTAATCTTTCTCCCTCAGAGTGATTGGTGGGCTCGAACTGCTGGCCTCCTCGCTGGCCTAGTCTCCATGTGCCTGTTTTCCAAAGGACAGCTATAGTGGTCCTCATAAAACGTAAGCTGTCATGCCATTCTCTGTTCCACATGCATTAGTGGCTTCCAATTACCCTTAGGATAAAGCCGGAATCCTCAATATGACTCACGAGACCTTGCCTCACTTTATACCGCCTGCCCCTGCTCTCTACACTTCACATGCAGCGCACTTCCCCATCCTCACCCTCAAGCACTCAGCCTTTTCTTGACTCCAGGCTTTAAGCTGTTCCAAATTCTGTCCATTCCACTGGGATGGTCTAATGATTAGATCCCCATTTGACTATCAGTTTCTCAGAGGAGTTTCCTGGACTCCCTGAGTAAGTAGACCCCTCTTATATGCACTCGAGCCCTAGTGGCTCAGTGGTTACGAGTTGGGCTGCTAACTGCAGGGTTAGTAGTTCAAAACCACCGCTGCTTCTCAGGAGAACTCCCGTTAAGAGTCACAATCCCGGGGACCCACGGAGGTGGTTCTCCCCTGTCCAATTGGGTTGCCGTGAGTCAGAATCGACTCGATGGCAGTGAATTTGGTGAGCGTTTATGTATATATATCCTCAAAACTCCCTGTGCCTCTGTCTTACAACCCTTAACACCTTTGTAATCAGCTTGTTCAATCCCTGCATTACACGTTCCCTAAAGGCAGGGACTGCTTCTTTTATCCATGGCCTCATCTCCTGCCTCCACAGGGCTGGGGCTCAATCTTTTGTGGAAGGGAGAGGAGAGCCTATGTACAAGACTCACTCCACCTCAGTGAAGTGGTGATAATTAGCCCTGGAGGACAGGAAACAGAAAGAATTAACCATAGCTTTGAGGTAAGAGACAGAGAGAATTGAGGTTGAGGACATTCAGGCCTGAGAATCAATAAGCAAACTACTCTGCTGCAGGCCGAAGTGAGACTGGAGGCTGCCGGGACCAGGGCCAGGGGGAGTCTGAATCTGGGAATCACCTGGATCCCAGTTTCCCCGACTTGTTCACACCTTCCCCTCCCAGTCATGACCGTTTTCCTCCCGCTTTCCTTCCAGGTCAGGGAACCAGGGCTGGAGCCAGGGTCCAAGTTGGACCTGATCAGGAGCCTGGGACCGAGCTGGAACTGCCCCTGTCATGCAGAAGGAGTTGGGCACCCCCTCTTCTTGCACTGGCATGCAGTCCCTCCCCCTGCCACCACTGCGGCAGGTGCTGCTGCTCCTGCTGCTGCTGGGGGCAGGGGTGCCAGGGATGCAGGCTCAGGCTGGGAGCCTGGACCTGCAAATCGACGAGGAGCAGCCAGCGGGCACCCTGATCGGAGACATCAGTGCCGGGCTGCCGGCGGGCACGGCAGCGCCTCCCATGTACTTCATCTCTGCCCAGGAGGGCAGCGGGGTGGGCACAGACCTGGCTATCGACGAGCACACTGGGGTTGTTCGCACAGCCCGCGTCTTGGACCGTGAGCGGCGGGACCACTACCGCTTCACTGCCGTCACGCCAGACGGTGCCACTGTGGAAGTGACTGTGCGAGTGGCTGACATCAATGACCACGCGCCCGTCTTCCCGCAGGCTCGGGCTGCCCTGCAGGTGCCTGAGCATACGGCTCTGGACACCCGCTACCCGTTGGAGCCTGCGCGGGATGCCGACGCCGGCCGCCTGGGCACCCAGGGCTACGCACTGTCTGGCGATGGGGCTGGAGAGACCTTCCGGCTGGAGACCCGTCCCGGGCCGGACGGGGCTCCTGTGCCTGAGCTGGTGGTGGCCGGTGAGCTGGACCGCGAGAACCGCTCACACTACATGCTGCAGCTCGAGGCCTATGATGGAGGAGCGCCCCCACGGCGGGCCCAGGCCCTGCTGGACGTGACGCTGCTGGACATCAACGACCATGCTCCGGCCTTTAACCAGAGCCGCTACCACGCCGTGGTGTCCGAGAGCCTGGCCGCCGGCAGCCCCGTCCTGCAGGTGTTTGCCTCGGACGCCGATGCTGGTGCCAACGGAGCTGTGACTTATGAGATCAACCGGAGGCAGAGCGAGGGCGATGAGCCCTTCGCCATCGACGCACACACAGGGCTGCTGCGGCTGGAGCGGCCGCTGGACTTTGAGCAGCGGCGGGTCCACGAGCTGGTGGTGCAGGCCTGGGACGGGGGTGCGCACCCTGAGCTGGGCTCGGCCTTTGTGACGGTGCACGTGCGAGACGCCAACGACAACCAGCCCTCCATGACTGTCATCTTCCTGAGCGCCGACGGCTCCCCCCGGGTGTCGGAGGCCGCCCCGCCTGGGCAGCTGGTCGCTCGCATCTCCGTGTCCGACCCCGACGACGGTGACTTTGCGCATGTCAACGTTTCCCTGGAAGGTGGTGAGGGCCACTTTGCACTGAGCACCCAAGACAGTGTCATCTACCTGGTGTGCGTGGCTCGGCGGCTGGACCGAGAGGTGCGAGATGCCTATAACTTGCGGGTGACCGCCACGGACTCCGGCTCCCCGCCGCTGCGGGCCGAGGCGGCTTTTGTGCTGCATGTCACCGATGTCAATGACAACGCGCCTGCCTTTGACCGCCAACTCTTCCGAGCCGAGCCCCTGCCTGAGGTGGCGCTCCCTGGCAGCTTTGTGGTACGCGTGATGGCCCAGGATCCTGACCAGGGGCCCAATGGACAGGTCACTTATAGCCTGGCTCCTGGCACCCACACTCACTGGTTCTCCATCGACCCCACCTCAGGCATCATCACCACGGCAGCCTTGCTGGACTATGAGTTGGAACCTCAGCCACAGCTCACCGTGGTGGCCACAGACAGGGGCGTACCTCCTCTGGCCTCCTCGGCCACGGTCAGCGTGGCCCTGCAAGATGTGAACGACAATGAGCCTCAGTTCCAGAAAACCTTCTACAACGCCTCACTGCCTGAGGGGACCCAGCCCGGGACCTGCTTCCTGCAGGTGGGTAGTCCCTGCACATCCTACTGGGGAGCGTAGAGGTGGATCAAGTGGGGGCACAGGGAACCCCAGCATAGGAACCAGGTGTTCCAGGGACATGTGCTGATGGCGACTTTTTGCCAGAAGTTTTAGTCCCGTTGAACTCCAAAGTGCTGAAGGGGAAGAGAGAGGGTTCAGGCCTGAGATGTGTGGCCACAGGATCAGAACTGGGCTGGGCAATCCTGGTACTTGAGATGGTGTCTACAGAAAAAGTGTCTGTCACACGGCCTCAGGAAGTGAGAGGGGCTCTGTAAACGCCTCTGGGAACACAGGAAGCAGATCATTCTTGCCCCCAGACACATGCCAGCCTGGACAGGGAATGGAGACGCACTGCACAGTGCTGTCGCTGGCAGCATAGGATGTGCTATGGCAGCCCAGAGGAGAGAGAGACACCAGGCCGACGGAAAGAACAGCAAAATGCTGTTGTGTGTTTTGGAAGACCCTATTGTTCAACTGTAGCTTCAGCGGTGCTGATGAAAAGGGGTTGGGGGCTGTGAGATGACAGGTATGTAGGGACCTGATTGTAATCTCTGGCTTTCTCTTAATCCGAGATGGCCAGAGGGGCCCTCAGTCAAGCCGGTGTTTGCTTGGGTTGTTCCATGGGGCATAGCTGTAGGAGAAGCTAGTCAGAGAGATTGTTTAGGAGACTGGTGCTTGAGGCCTTTAGTCTTGTAAGCTGACCATTCCCTTCAGGAGCTGCTGGCTGGACTAGACTGCTAGGCCAGTGCCTGGCCTGGCTGACCCCATCTGCTGGTTCCTGTCTGGGCATTTGATTGCCTGCTGCTTGCCAGCTCCCACTACCCACTCTTCCTTGTGGTTCCTCTCCCTCCTGGCCCAGGACCAGTGAGCTAAGACTTCCAAACCTCTCTTCCCTCCTCACTGTGCCTGAAGCCGGAGGGCAGCTCTCCAAGAGGTTTCCTGGAGTGTTTACTGTTTGTGATCACAGGGGAAGCAAAGGAAAAACTGCTCATTGGGAATTCGTCATAGTTATAAGAAGTCTTACTATATGATCGCTTCAATATACATTTATACTATGTGCCAGCCACTCTCTATTAGGGACTTAGAACATAACAATGAATAAATACCCCCCCCCCACACACACACACCATTTTGTGGACTTTGTAGTCTAATGAGGTTCGTGTGCAAGGAATTTCATTACTTCCTTGTAGGAAAACGCCCTATATTTATGAGTACAGATAGGTAGTATGAATGTATTCCCACAGGAGACCCTTAAATTCAACAGGAGTTTATGAGGGGAGCAAGAGAGGGGAGAGGTTGCGAGTAGAGGAGACATGCACAGAGGGGTGGAAGAGTCTAATTCATCCAAGTGGCTCAATGTCTCTGGAGTTTATGATGTGAGGGAGGAAGATGCAGCTATACAGGGAGGCCAGACAGCAAGGAACCAAGGTAAGACAGGAAGTACAAGCTCTTTCCTAAATATTTCCTTAAAATAGTATTGCATTGTGTTTTCATTGAAGGTTTACACAGCAGTTTAGGTTCCCATTGAACTGTTTGTACACAGATTGTTCAGTGATGTTGGTTACATTCTTTCCGTGCCAGTGCTGTCATTTCCATTGTAGTGGTTCTGTTCTGTTCATCTGGCTTCCCTGCCCCCTTATATTTTCATCTTTGTTGTAAAATGTATTTGTTGACAATTGCAATGTATTTGTTGGTCTCGTGCAGGTGATTTTTTAAAGAAACACAGGACTTAACAGTGACATGCATTATTTTTGGAGTCAATTTGCTAGTTAGTGGCAAAGTGACCTCAAGGACATGGAAGAGTTTTAGTAGAAGAATGATAACAGATGTTTTCTCAAAAAATGATTTTGGTAGTCTGGATAGAACAGTTGTTCCCTACTAAAGGTGACTTTACAACCCCCTCTCCCCCAGGGCATTTTTGTTGCTCATAGCTGGCAGGAAACATCTACCCTGTTTCCCTGAAAATAAGACAGTGCCTTATATTAACTTTTGCTCCCAAAGATGTGCTAGGTCTTATTTTCAGGGGATGTCTTATTTTTCCATGAAGAAGAATACGGTACACATTTATTGTTGAACAACAAAAAAGGACATTTATTACCTGTATACGGTACAGTAGTAGTTGTCATCACAAACCAGCATAACCAGGCAAACTGTGAATCCTACAGTATCAAGAATTTCTTGTTACTCTTGCCTCGGCCACTCACTGTCTAATTGTGAGTCAGCCAGACTCTGTCAGGGCAGAGCGAGCAGCAGGCGTAGTTTGTCCTGGCGGCAGCGCAGGCTCTCTGATTAAAAGAGACCTTGCACTTCTTGTCTGCTCCGGCTGCGCTGCAGCCAACAGTGAGCTGCATGGCAGCACCCCTGCTATGGTCCAGAGTCCCGAGTTACAGTAGTTTGGTGGGGGCTTATTATCCGGGAGGCCTTATTTTCTGGGAGGTCTTATTTTGGCCTTATATTTCAGCAAGAGGCAAAACTGAAAGTAGGTCTTATTTTCGGAGGATGTCTTACTTTTGGAGAAACACGGTAGCGTGTGGAGCCCAGGGATGCTGCAAGTACCCTAAAGTGCACAGGACAGCTCCCACAGCAAAGAACTTTCCAGTCCAAAGTGTTAGCAGGGTCTAGGTTGAAAACTATGGGGTAGAGGGCGGATTGGAGGGTCAGACATCTCCGGTAAGAAGACTTATAAGAAAGGGATTAAATAGTCAAAGAGAGAGATGACACAGCCTGACATCAAGACAGTGGTGATGTTGACGGAGTGGACTAGACAAACCAGAGGGATCATGAAGGGTTACTTATCCCCTGGTTGGTTGTTATAGTTGGTGAAGAAAAGGGAAGCGAAGATTCCTGGCTTGAGCTGTGTGGATGGAAGAGTCATTAAGAGCAGATGTGAACTGATCATGGGTTTACTTTGGGATAGGTTGAATTTCAGGACCCTGTGGGACATCCGAGTGGAGATGTTGAGCAGTCATCTGGAGATACAAGGCTAGAGTTCAGCGGAGTGGTCCAGGGTGACAGACGGTTGAAGACACGGAAATGGAAGAGAGCCCTGAGGCAGTGTGTAGAAGAGGCGGAGTATAAATCACAGTAAACAAGCAACATATAAGACAAGGCAGAGCAGGGAGTGCGAGTGGAGGGAGTAGAAAGGCAGTGGGAGGAGAAGCAGAGCGTCCTGTCTCGAAGTCAAAGCAGGCATTTACCTGGAAAGATCAGAATGGGGTAGATGCAGAAGTTTGTGGTCTGGTAGGAATTTCAAGATTCACAGATAAGGGTTTTTATTTTCTCCTTGAAAATAGTGCCTCTGCTGAGCACCAGGGGTGGGCTTGGGGACAGGAGCAGAACGATGAGGTGTGCTATAGCTACTGGGCTGGGGTGTACAGTAGGACTGAGAACCCTCTGTGAGTGGAGACGGTGCTTTTGCAATAGAGCCTCCAAGCAGGGGCTGCAGAGGCCAGGGGATTCGCTTCTGCCTTGGTCATTTCCAGTCAGTGGCCCCTGTGCCTTTGGGGGTCACATCCTGACAACTTCCCCCAAACTGCTATTTATTGCTTTCTTCCTGCAGTGAGTCAAAGGGCAAAGGTCTTTAACAGCTTCTGGAGATGGTGCCACAGCTGTGCTGCTGCCCACCAGGATTGATGTAGTGGGGGGGGGGGGGCTGTCTCCTGGGATATCCGGGCCCATAGCCACAGCAAAGGGTTGGAGCAGGAGCTGTTTCCAGGGCTCGGCCGAGGCTGAGTCTTAGTGTCTCTCAGGAGGGTAAACAATGGCACAAATCACTCCTGTCAGGGACCTAGGCAACAACCAGAAGTCCTTGGCTGGTCTTCTCGCGAAGCAATATTTTCTAATGGAGGAAAGGGAACACTTCAGCTTCCTCTTACAGTGTATCATGACCCTGAAGCTCTTGTGTCCACAAAGAGCACTTTGTCACGGGCTGCAGCAGCCAACACCAGCTAACCCACTATGGAGAGCCTAATGTGCACCCACTGTTTAGAACTTGGTCTGAAAGAAGTTTTTGTTACAAGGCAGGGCAGTCAGAATGTCCATTTACTCTATGAACAAATATACATAGAGCACCCACTGTGTGCCCCACTCTGCCCTGGGCTTGGGAGATCTCAGAATGGGGTCTCCTGCTGACCTGGCTCTGAAATGATCAGAGGCTTCTGGCATGGATGCTCGGTTGTTCTAACTTTTCTGGGAGATGCCCAAGATTTCACCGGGAAAGTCCCCCACCCCCAACTTCGCATTTCTTTACTTTGGAGAGTTCCCATGACTTAATGACCTCAACATTGCCCCATAGGCTTGCAATTCTTCTCCCACATTCAATGCTGTCCCTCTGGGAGGTTGGCTGGGGAGATGAAGGGACGCTGAAGGCACCTAGAGCAGACACTGCCGTGATCAGTTCCCAGGATAATCAGACTCTGTAATGATTTGATTCACTGTAGAGATCAGACCCATCACAAGTCTCGTTGAGTCTCTCAGTCAGTGCTCGGCTTGAGGTGATTATGAGGCTCGGCGATGGTGCTAACTTACAACATGATCTACTGGAAATTTGGAGCCACTGCCCTTAGCGCTCTTCTTGTTTGTCAATGCAATGGCTTTACCCTTTACACAGAGCTCACAGGGCGCAAGGGTGCCTCTGGGTCACTGTTGTGTGTCTGTGGCATCGAGTTGGTGCTCAGTGAGTGGTGCTTGTTGAAAGAAAGGGTGAAAAGATGGCCTTGCCTGAGAGCAGCAGCCCACTCACGGGGAGGCCAGCGATGGCACGTTCACTGTAGTCATCTCTCAACAAAAAGGTCATTCTGCTTCTGTGTCTGGCCCTGTGCTAGGCATCGGTGACAGCAGTGAACAAGAGCACCCATCCCCTGGCTTTAGAATACAGAACTGGCCGATCCGTGTCAGAATGCAGGGCTCTGTGGAAGGGCTGGTCGCTGACTCGACAGTCAGGGAAGACTTCACAAGGGAGGTGACAGCTTAGATCAGGTTGGATGGAAGGAAGGGGGCTGTTGTTTGGTGCTGTCCAGTTGGTTCCGACCCACAGGGAGCTAGTGCACAACAGAAGGAAACACTCCCCAGCCTGGCACCAGCCTCACAACTGTTCCTAGGAATTGACACTCTGGCTGCACCAGTGGCTCCAGCTTAGGCGCAAGCATGGTGGGGAAGGGCCTGCCTTCAGAAAGAGGGTGAGGTGGGTAATATTTCGTGCACGGAAAGAACCCAAAAGCATGAAGGATGATATATTTCCAAAGGAACTCATTTTTCAGCATGACTGGAGCCTGTGGTGCTGGGGGCAGTGGTGTGAACTCAGGCCAAAGAGACAGGACAGAGATCCACTCCCACAGGGCCTTGTAGGCCAGGGTTGGGAGCTTAAGTCTGACCATCCAGGGATCATCCACAGATGCAGAAAAGGTAGGGTGGAGGGGGAGGAAACTCTGAAGTGTGATGTCATAGGACCAAGGCAAGGAGGGTTCAAGGAGGGTCAGTCCTGGGCATGCACATCGGTCTAATGACGTGGAGTAACACTGATAATCGCAGTCAAAGCCATTTCACTGATTGTCTCAGGAAATGCAGAAAAAGTCAGTGATGTAGCCAAGAAATTTAGCTGTGAAAGCGAGTAGAGTGAGGGGCTCAGCTGGAGAGGGATGCAAGCTCCATCAAGCTTTTCCTCCTTGGTTTTTGAACTGTTATAAGTGAAGAGGAAGAGGGTGGCGAAAGAGCAGAGGGGCTAATCGAAAGTGTGAAGTCTACAAGAAAGGAGGGCAGGGGGCTGCAGAGTGGGGCAGGGTGGGCAGCGGCATACTTAGCACTGGTGAGGGATTGGCCTGATAAGCAAGCCAGCTTGCTCTATTCTGCAGGAAGAAAGGAAGGGTGGAAGAGTGCAGCTGTCCACTGATGTGTGGATCTAGTGGTGGAAAGTGGGGAGAATTCATATTCTGCACACTGACCACTTGTTTGTCCAGAGCCGTGGAGACAGCAGACCTCTAACATTCAGATGCCTCTGAGATGTGTCCCTGCCTCCCATGCATGCATGCATTCAGGAAATGGGCCAGTTCTTATTCCCTAAAGGGATGAAGCTAGGGCTCGGGCTGGGTGTCGGCCATGCCTTACCCCCTCTGCCGGATCCACCCTTCAGAAACGCCGGGCATCAGCTGTGGCTGGGTCTGCACTTCTTCACTGCCGCTTGCCTTGCCTCTGGCCTTCCTGGCCAAGACGAGCGGACACCACTCATCCCGCCCGGCCTCTCCCCAGGTGACAGCCACAGACGCGGACAGTGGCGCCTTCGGTGTGCTCGCCTATTCCTTGGGTGCTGGGCTTGGGGCGTCAGGGTCTCCTCCGTTCCGCATCGATGCCCACAGTGGTGATGTATGCACGACCCGGATGCTGGATCGTGACCAAGGACCCTCAAGCTTTGACTTCACTGTGACGGCTATAGATGGAGTGAGTGGGCAGATCACGTGGGGGTGGGGGTGGTGCTCACAAAGGCCAACCCACCTGACCTGTGGCTGTGTGTCCCCGCAGGGAGGCCTCAAGTCCATGGTGTATGTGAAGGTGTTTGTGTCTGATGAGAATGACAACCCACCTCAGTTTTATCCACGGGAGTATGCTGCCAGTCTGAGTGCTCAGAGCCCACCAGGCACAGCTGTGTTGAGGGTGCGTGCCCATGACCCTGACCAGGGGCCCCATGGGCTGCTCTCCTACCGCATCATGGCTGGCAATAGCCCCCAGCTCTTTGCCTTGGATGAACATTCAGGTGAGGATTCTCCCATTCCCAGAACCTAGCCCCAGAGCCCCTCTCCCTTCCTTCCTGAATGATGGACTGTGTCCCCTCCCATTCCCGTGCTGTTTCCTTATGCACCCCTGCTTCTGTCCTTCCTCCCAGGGCTGCTGTCAGTAGCCTGGCCCTTAGCCAGAAGGGCCAGCTCTGTGGTGCAGCTGGAGATCGGGGCTCAGGATGGAGGTGGCCTGCAAGCAAAGCCCAGTGCCCGAGTCAACATCAGCATTGTGCCGGGAACGCCCACACCACCTGTATTTGAGCAACTACAGTATGTCTTTTCTGTACCTGAGGATGTGGCGCCAGGCACCAGTGTGGGCATAGTCCAGGCACACAATCCACCAGGTATTATGGAGCAAGTCCAACTATTCCACGTGACGCCAAAATGCCCTATTCTAACCCTCCAGCCTCAGCTCAAGATCCCCTTGGTAGCCATAGCTAGCCCCAGCACAGAACACCTTCCAAGGCACGCTCTGGGTTCACAGCTCCATCCCCAGACACATCAGGTATCAATCACCCCGGTGCCATCCGGCTGCCCTGCTAACACCTGGGAGCACATACGCCCATGACTACTTTGAAAGGCACAGGTGTGGGCACTGCCTAGGCCTTCTTGTCATCAGATTCTGGGACTCAGCCTCTTCCCTGATTCTTCTCTTCTTCCTCAGGTCGCTTGGGACCTGTGACCCTCGCCCTATCAGGCGGGGATCCCCGGGGACTCTTCTCCCTAGATGGGGCTTCGGGGCTGTTACAAACCCTTTGCCCTCTGGACCGGGAACTGCTGGGGCCAGTGCTGGAGCTGGAGGTTCGGGCAGGCAGCGGCATACCCCCAGCTTTCGCCATCGCTCGGGTCCGGGTGCTGCTGGAGGATGTGAACGACAACACCCCTGCCTTTCCTGCACCTGAAGACACGGTGCTGCTGCCCCACAGCACTTCCCCGGGAACCCCTATCTACACCCTGCGGGCTCTGGACCCTGACTCAGGTGTTAACAGTCGAGTAACCTTTACTCTGCTTGCTGGGGGTGGTGGAGCCTTCGCTGTAGACCCCAACACAGGCCATGTACAGCTCGTGAGACCTCTGGGTCCCCCAGGAGGGGCAGCCCATGAGCTGGAGCTAGAAGCCCGGGATGGGGGCACCCCACCACGCACCAGCCACTTTCGACTGAGGGTGGTGGTGCAGGACTTGGGGGCCCGTGGGCTGGCTCCCCACTTTGACAGCACAACCTACCGTGTGGACCTGCCCTCGGGCACCACCCCTGGGACCCAGGTCCTGCAAGTGCAGGCCCGAGCATCCGATGGGGGCCCCATCACCTACCATCTTGCAGCAGATGGGGCAAGTAGCCTATTTGGCTTAGAGCCACAGAGTGGGTGGCTGTGGGTGCGGGCTGCATTGGACCGGGAGGCCCAGGAGTTGTACACACTGAAGGTCATGGCAGTGTCTGGATCCAAAGCTGAGCTGGGGCAACAGACAGGCACAGCCACCGTGAGGGTCAGCATCCTCAACCAGAATGAGCACAGCCCCCGCCTGTCTGAGGAACCCACCTTCCTGGCTGTGGCTGAGAACCAGCCTTCAGGGACCAGCGTGGGCCGGGTTTCTGCCATGGATCGAGACTCGGGTCCCAATGGACGTCTGACCTACAGTCTGCGACAGCTGTCAGAAGACAGCAAGGCCTTCCGCATCCACCCCCAGACTGGTGAGCCCCAGAACCCAAAGTCTGAAGCCCCGCAGTACTACTCCCAGAAGTGGCCAGCTCCCAGACAGGATTCCTACCCCCAACCCACACCCTGGACTCTCGGGATCAAGACAGGGAATCCCTGGCGGTCCCCTTCCATCCTCCCCAAACCCCAGCTGCTTCGGCAGCCCTGAGTCCCAGCCTACTCCACCCATGATCCCCTTCCTGCACTCCCAGGAGAAGTGACCACACTCCAAACCTTGGACCGAGAGCGGCAGAACAGCTACCAGCTCCTGGTGCAGGTGCAGGATGGGGGGAGCCCGCCACGCAGCACCACAGGCACTGTGCACATTGCGGTGCTGGACCTAAATGACAACAGCCCCACCTTCCTGCAAGCCTCGGGGGCTGCTGGCGGTGGCCTTCCTATCCAGGTAGGGGAAGCAGCACCACTCTGTCCTGAAGTGTGAGGCGGGGGTGGGGGGTGTCATCTTCACAGAGGGCTGTAGGTGTGGGTCCCGGGAGGGGCTCTGCAAACAGGGGAAGGGAGCGCCATTTCCGTTGAATTGTGTCCCCACAGGTACCAGACCGCGTGCCTCCAGGCACGCTGGTGTCAACGCTGCAGGCTAAGGACCCAGATGAGGGAGAGAACGGCACCATCCTGTACACTCTAACAGGTTGGGGTTGGGGGAAAGGTGGAGGGAGGAGAGCTGGTGGGTGGGTGTTGAGGTGCCCTAGGGAACCCAAGGCCTGCCCCCTCCTATGTCCAATCCTAGGTCCTGGTGCCGAGCTCTTCTCCCTCCACCCTCACTCCGGGGAGCTGCTCACCGCAGCACCTCTGATCCGAGCAGAGAGGCCCCACTACGTGCTGACGCTGAGCGCTCATGACCAAGGCAGCCCTCCGCGAAGCGCCAGCCTCCAGCTGCTGGTGCAGGTGAGACTGCCTGCTCTCTTCCCCACGGCTCTGGGCCCCTCCAGTAGCTCCAGCTTCCTGGGGTTCTGACTCCTACCCAGCAGGCAACCCCCTGACTCTGCTTCGCTTCCCCCGCAGGTGCTTCCCTCTGCTCGCTCCGCGGAGCCCCCGCCCGACCCCGCCGAGCCAGGCCCCGCGGCCCCGGTGCCTGTCGTGCTGACGGTGACGGCAGCCGAGGGCCTGCAGCCCGGCTCCCTGTTGGGCTCGGTGGCGCCGCCAGAGCCGCCTGGGATGGGGGCGTTCACTTACA